GGTCCAGAATAGAGCATCGCACCATCGTACCGCAATCATGCTCAAACGCGTGACATACAGCATCTTTAGCCGAAATAAATAATAAATTGAACAAAATTGGTTTCATCCGATCCTCCTTCATTCTCACCATCTCACCTTCAGCACGTCGATCGATTCGATGGATTTCGGCATGATTTTGGAGTAAATTTTCCTCTTCGCCCTCGTCGAGAGCTTTCAGTTCCTCTACGGAGGAGCAAATGCATACTGAGTATGGCCACCCGAAAAAAAAATAATTATAATAAAATAACGAAATTACAATGATTTTTACGGTTGAATTTCGGGCACATTATAAATTTATTGTTAAATTATTGGACGGGTGAAAAAATAAATTTCGTTTTAAAAGATACAATTCTCAATGAAAATTAATTTGATGAGATCAAATTTGTTCGAGAAAAATCAGTTTTTTTATTGTTAAGATGCTTAACAACCCCCCTTTTTTACTGTAAATTTCTCATATACCATGATTTTCGTTTTGATTTTATGATAATCAACAAAAATCTCCATTCAAAATCATTATATTTTTATTGGATTTTTTTACGGTCGGGTCCTGTTTGGCGTCCAACAACGATATCTTCTCGGTCGCGAATGACCATGGCTTTGGTTAGGAGCACCGACTGATGAAATCTTTAGCAACAATTGCCGCCAAAAAGCGCGAGTCATTGACAGCTCAACATTGTTTACTTGTAAGCAAATGTTAACCCGATGTGTTTACTCCTAATCATTTTGGCCTAAGGTCTTTCATTATACAAAAGAAGTGCAGATAACAATGAACACAACATAGTGACATGCAGTTTGACAACAGGCTCTCCCTTTCAATTTTCGTTAGAGAAAAAGAGATAACAGGCGGTGCCCCAATAGCATCAACTACTTTAAGCTAGTACATATGAGTAGATAGTGTTGCCGTGAGGTACACTCGAAAATTTCAAATGTAAGTGCGTCAAACCAAATTTCGAGCCGCTCCGTCTGTCACTTCGTTTGTGCTTGAAGTATGTCTCCAAGTCCACAGGCAAAAATGTGCGTCCCTCTTTTTGCTCATAAACTGACTGCGGCTGTGGAATAGTTCTAGCGACGTTTTCATCACTACCTAAAGCCCCACGTTGCGAGAGCATTTCCAGTCGATGGTGTGTTATAATGCAGTTCTTCTTTACCCAACTATTGTGTTGCTCCTCTCGTCATGACCAACGTGATCATCTCAGAGAGAAAGCAGTAGGGTGGTTGTTGCGTGCTGTACCATCATCAGCATTGTTGACGGCTACTCCCGCCTTGAGTTGTTACATTCAAAGTGTTTTTTATGTTACTTCATACGCGAAGTTAACGATTTTCAGAGTTGGTCATGACGAGAGGAGCAACACAATAGTTGGGTAAAGAAGAACTGCATTATAATACACCATCGACTGGAAATGCTCTCGCGACGTGGGGCTTTAGGTAGTGATGAAAACGTCGCTAGAACTATTCCACAGCCGCAGTCAGTTTATGAGCAACAAGAGGGACGCACATTTTTGCCTGTGGACTTGGAGACATACTTCAAGTCCCCGCGTAGATCGTACGGGTTAGGCAAAAATGTGCGTCTATCTTGAAAACTGTCGCATTAATGGCCCTTCGCTCATTTTCAACTTCTATTCAATTTTCATACTGCCGTACTCTAACGGAACTATCCACCTACCCTCTTCTAAAGATCATTCTCTAGCTAATAAATCATCACACTAAAGCTTCATGTTAGCATTTCCAACCAACTCTGAAAATCGTTAACTTCGCGTATGAAGTAACATAAAAACACTTTGAATGGATTGAAATTAAATAATTTTGCAAACAATCAATGAAATTTTCAAGGGCTGTCACAGACTTATCACCGTCGGTAAGTGCTTATTCCTGCCACCAGGCGCGCATGAGTTTAAGTTGGATTTCTCAATTGGATCCGTTTCTTTGCACGGGAGTGTTTTTTTTTGTAACTAGCGTAAAGCAAACCCCACACGCATCAATATATTGACGCGAAGGGGAATTATTGACAATAATATTGATGATGTGAATTCAGAAATATTGTCAATCTCGATGTATTGACGTCAATATAGAATGTATTGACAATACGATTATTGTCAATAAAAGCAATCGTGTAGGGTCCACTTAAGTGTGCCTGCGATTTGCATCGAGTGACGGACATTGTGAGTAAGCTGAAGGATGTCTCGATGCACTAGATGCGAACCTCCTCCCAGATCACCATGGCAATACAGGAAGTATCACAACAAAGGTAATTGCTATTAGGTATTTTGAAAACAGTGACTGATAGCGGACATGAAGAACCAGTGGAGGTGCCGGGCAAAGGTGTTTATCCTAGACAAATGGTAAGTTACAAATTCTCTGTTGTCGTTGTCGTAGGCGCCATCGTAGTCGCTGTCGTAATTGCCGTCGTAGTCGTGGGCAGTACCGTTGGTATATTTAAAATTAAACATCAACCGCTGATAATATGAATTATCGCGTATTTCTGTTGTTCATTACATTCCAAGTGAAATTCGAGAACGCAATTTCATTTGAATGGCTTGTTTAACCAGGTCGTTTCTTTTTCATGACCTATCTGTGATCTTATTTCTTTTTGTTTTGTTTTTTTTTTTCTCTCTTTTATTTATTGACATATATATATATATATCTGTATATTTCTGAGCGAGATAAGGCGCAATAACCTTGGCATTAAATCTGGGTTGAGTTTGAAGTGGGCGGAACGACCGTTTGAGGGCAGTGGCTTTTGACGCGGGTTTCTTTGAATTTAGATGGTGCCCACGCGGACTGTCGGGGCCTTTCGATAAAGAAAGTTTGCTCTATCAGATGCTGGTGTTATATTTCGTGGGTGTGTTCTTGATGGTTGAAGCAGTTGAAGGGTTTGTGTTTGGAGCTGTCGTTTACGGATGGTTGTTCCGCTTGTTTCAAATGTTAACCCAGAAATAGCCTGGCTTTTGGTTCAAATGCCAAAAGTTCATCCAAAGACACCAGGAGCATAAATTAAATTTTATAGCAATTATGCTCCCAACGAAAACATATAAATACTATTATTCAATTGTAACTGGAAGCGTTTGGTACGGGAGGTCCACGCTTTCTTCCTTTCCCTTGATCTCAGGTTGTGGAGTGGTTTCAGATATTCATTTCTGACATCACTTGACTCCTTGAAATCCTCTCTGCGGCACATGCTGCGCAGTTGGCCTGGCCGTTGACAAGAAAAATGACGGATTCGTGAAGCCGTCATTTTCCAGGATGCTTTCAAAGTATTGGCTGCGTTAGTGTGAGATTAGATAGATTAGATTAGATCAAACATTAAAAAAAACTCGGCCTTTCATTCCGCTGGAACTTCAGTCCAAGACTATTACTATATGTCAAGCTAATAAAAAAAAAATCAGATTGACCGCCCACGGTTGCTGCTCTATTATTACCAGATCAGCTGCAATTACACAGAGACCCAACAGATGATGTTTGGGACTAACATTCATCCTCAATGTGTAAGAACTGGAGATCTAATATTTAGCAATACCAGCGCCGGCCGTGTCCGAATGCAGGTCAACTAGGGAATGGGAAGGAATGTGTTGACGTGGTACTCGCTGTGAAGGAAACCGAGAAATCCTCTGCGCTTCCACGAGAAATCACTGGGATGTTGGGATGTGGGGAAAGGTTGCACGCACACGCAGGGATCGTTTTTGGTAGAGCGATTATAATACACAAACACACACACACACACACACACACACACACACACACACACACACACACGCGCGCGCACTCATCCAATTTCTATTTTTATATCAGGACTGTGGTAAGTGATGCGATCGGTGTTAAAGAAGAATTTGTTTTCATTAAAATCTAGTGGGTATAGAATAAGGCAAAGTGAAAAATTGCAAGGAAGGGGACGGGCCTGGGATTGAACTCCCGACCTTCTGCTCAGTAAGCAGAAACGGTAACCACTGAGCTACCGAGCCTCGTCATATATGTCAAGCTAATAAAATCATCCAGAAAATGGAAAGTCGTGAAACAGGATTAATTTTTAGGTCATCAAAATTCGGAAGCGATTTTATCGATATGGAATGGACCACTTTGTCAAGCAGTTGTGGCGTAACTTTCTACCAGCGATTTCTCAAAACTGGACCAACAAATTTCTATTTTATTATGAAACGCACAAATCAGTGCTAACATTTGAAAACGGCACAAAAGCCATTTGTAAACAAATAGTTTGTGGGCCCTTTACTCGCTACCCGAAGAACGCCCACGCAAACCAACAGCATCGTCAGGAAGGGGAAAATTTCCCCTACCCGATGTTGCTGTTGTGTCAACCTCTATGTTTACCTATGTTACCTCTATGGTTGTGTCGCGTGGGTGTACTTCAAGTAGTGAGTAAAGGGCCCACAAACCATTTGTTTACAAATGGCTTTTGTGCCGTTTTCAAATGTTAGCACTGAAATGTTGGCTACTTTTCTCGTGGTTCTAGAAGAAAAAATCTCAAAATAATGTTTTATTTCAAAGTTCAAGTGGTAGTAATACCACAGACAGACATACAAATTAGTACCGTTGTACTTCTTTAATCTAGTACCTCAAAACGTACAATTTGTGGTACTAGCTTAAAGCAGTACAACGGTAGTACAACAGTGAACTTTGTATGTCTGTACAAGGTATAAACGTCATTTTAACTGCTCGAATGAAGTGTTTAATTCCGCCCTTTTCAGATGTTAGTCTAGATTAGAAATGCTCAGAGGGAGTGATGGGCGGAGAGAATGTTTTGAGCCAAATGAACTGTCAAAATCTGAGCGAAACGAGCATTCCAATTGGAATTTCCCCGATGGTTTATCATTCTTACTAGATTTAATGTGAGGCTATTGCAATCGAACAGAAATTCAATCACCTTTATGTTTCGTGTGCTTCCCAATTTCAACTAGTTCTTGGAATCAGAAACAATATTCTAATTCTATTAATTAATTGATCTTTGTTGGTTAATTAATAGCACCAAGAAATGTGCAAAATATTGCGATGCAATCAATTATTAATTTGCACGTAAATCGAATAAAAAATAAAAGTCATTTGAAATGATAGCTTCTAGCAAGGGTTGCAAGATAATTTAGGAACAAATCCCTGCTGCCGAATTGTATTTTGTTTTCTCCGCCTATCTCTCCCTCTGAGTATTTCTAGTCTAGATTTCTCACTGGGGACTGATCAACCTATATTTGAATAGAATACCTAATCCAAAAAAATGAGTTCACAAACAATCGAAACGGAGTCTAAATTGGTCCAACATTTCCTATCAGTCTGTCGGTTGTGTTTAAGTGAAGAGTTTCTTGAAGACATATTCGAACTGGATGATCTGAATCTATTGATTTCGGGTTTCCTCACGATTGTGGTATGGAGTGGAATATATCTTAGAACTTTCGCACACAGTCTTGAAATCCCTCAATCTGTAATCCGTTGCAGGTTTCCGAGGACGACAGCATCGGTCGGTCCATCTGTGCAAGCTGCCGGACACAGTTAACCGAATTTCGTGACTTCAAGCTGCGATGCCTCGAAGTACAGGAAGCCATGCAAGGCGACTGCTACACGATTGTGGAAGAAGATCTGTCTCCGTTTGATGGAGCCGAGGAAGTGCCCCCGTCTGAAGAAGATCTGATTCTGACTATCGATATCGCAGAACAATCGCAACCAGTAGAACCAAAAGCGGAATCAATTCGAGATCAGAAAGAGCCAACCAGAAGAAGAAAGAAGTTGCATCACCTTCAACGAATCGAAATAGCCAAATCCGGACGGAAACGGTATGTTTACGATCTCAAAGAGGTCTACCGAAATCAACTGGAGAAATGTTCCACCTGCGAGAAAATGATTCCCAAAGGTCGCATGGAAGGCCATCAGAACATGCATCAAGGTCAGCATCCAATTTGCAGATTGACATTTTTACTCATTAAACTTAGGCTGTGAACCATTTGCCGAGTTAAATTTAACTCGTGGTTAAAAGTGACATTTCGAAAGTTATTTTCTATGTTCGAAAATCCCTGTGCTGTCGATCGACCGGTTTTCGAGCCACGGTTGTCAAAATTTAACTTCTTGTCTGTCAGAAATAACCATGCTCGGATAGCAGGGTTAATCGATAACTTTCCATCTGTCAAATTTTAACCAAAAGTTAAAATAATCCACCAAATGGTTCAGAGCCTTATTAATCCATCACGAACGAACGGACAGGTCTTCGACCGTTTTGGTGTGAACGGGGTTGCGAGAGCTTGGCTTTCCACTGTCAACAACTTCGGCTGCACCACTACCGGAACACTCACGACGGAGAGCTGCACGAGTGCGACGTTTGCCACAAGTCCTATCGCTCCAAGCGAAGCCTCAACTACCACAAAAAGGATGTTCATTCGGCGAAGGATTTTGCCTGCTCGGTTTGCAGCCAGGCATTCGCATCGAAGTAATTATAAGGCGCATAAGGCAACAGCAAATCAAGGACTAATCGGTTACATTTCCCACTTTCAGTGCTCGGCTTAAACAACACATGAAGTATCACAACCGTGAGAAGAATCATCCCTGTTCCAAGTGCAGTTATTCATTCTACTCGAATCATGACCTGAAGAAGCATCTGAGGACGCACGAGAATGATCGCTAAAAATTTAATTGTCATGGGGAAAAATCTTAAACCGTCTTAGATCATTGTAGACTGGATCTGAAATTAAATTGAATTCTAGTGAAAGCATCTTGATCTCCCACTTAAAAGGATACTTTCTTTTGGTTCTATCGATGCAGCACCAATTTAATACAATATTCATAAAATAATACTATTATTCGAGTAACGAGATTACGCTTGAGTATGTTCAGTTAGAGGATAAAGGTAAATTGTATATAGCGCTTCGTTCGTTGTATCAACAAGGCAACATTGGTTAACTTTTCGTTGTCAAATAGGAATGATTTAGTCTTAGTGTTTAAGTAGCTTCTTCCAATTGCCGTCCCACTTCATACGTACCTCCTCTCCCCGGTTACAGCTCATCGTTCGTGGACGACTTTTTCCATTTTCTCCGCGATCGCTCCAAATGCTGCTGGTAGTCCTGGTGGTTCCACACGTGCTCGGCCCCGGTTGCCACCAACCGGGCAAACTCTTTCGCATCGAAGGCATAGTTGGTGAACTTGGCATGCCTTCCCCCATCGGCCGGGTGATGACCTTCGTCCTCCGGGTAAACCAAATCCTCCCGCTCCCACGACAGGTAACGAACTCCCTTGAGACGGGCCAGATCCTTATAGCAGTTGGGGTCTTCACAGTGGTACAACTCGAACAAGACGGCCCACTTGGGAAGGAAAAGCAAATGCGTCAGCCCGGCGCCGTGCATTCCGATGAAGATATCGGTGTTTCGGGTGATTTTGAGCTGTTCCCGGAAGTCCGTTTTGTACGTGAAACTGGCCCGGTTGATCCGATAGTGATCATTCTCGGAGATTTCCTCCAGCAGTTCGTTTTCGTTCAGCACCCGCCGGAATTTGGTTTGCCGCGAGAGGAATGTTATTTGAAGCTTGCGATCCGTTCGACTCTTCAACGGGACTTTCAGCCGGTGCAGCACGTGCTCGGAGAAAGCCTGGAAGAAGCCACTGTTTTCGCAACCGGAAATCTGAAAGTGGGACATCCTTAGTACGTGTTTAATAAGTTATGTTGGAAGCTTACAATAGGCGTATTATAATACAATCCGAAGATCATCCTGGGCAGTAGAGGAAGCACGAGATTTTTGAAGCAGACCACTTTGCCAGCGTATGTTTTCAGGTCCGCAATCGGGTGTTTGGTAAACACCTTCATCGTCTCCGCAAAAGGTGAATCGTAAGTGAACGATTCCCAAACAAGAATTTCGACGTCCGTTGTGAATCCGGTCGGATCGGACAGATTGGCATGTAGCGAACCGTACAGGTTGATGAAATCGCAGAAATGATGGTACATGTTGATGGTGGCATCAATCTTCATCAGGAACGCCGGTCGTTCGATGGTAACGTCACACTTTCCACCTTGGGACAGCGGTTGATCGACTGTGTCGAAGAACCTTAGCTCCGGGCCCCAGGACTGCAGGGGGCTTATGTGTTCCAGTTCATCTTCCAATCGCTTCCGGTGCAGCTTGCAGTGACCTCCAATCTGACCATGGCTTAGTACGTCCATTTTATACCGCAGAGGCTCCCTACAATAACAACAATACCCATTACTTCTAGAACAGAATACCTTACCACATCTCACTCTTACGGTCTGTGGATCAAATCCGTGAAATTAACCATAATGTTTCGCCCCCGACAAAACCGCAAATACTTTGAACACTCAAGAGCCGAATCGTGCGGAAATCTAGGCTCGCACATAATCCTTGTCTCCCGGATCTGATCGCGTATAAACCCAAAATCCGCCTGCGCATAGAACGTCTCAAGCTGGGCTTCCTTCGTCTTCACGTATCCCCGGAAATCTCCCGGACACTGTGGCTTCGAGAACCGATTTTTCTCTTCGCATACATCCTCGTAGCCCCAGCACATGTTCTTCTTCGCCTTGTACGCATCGCTGGCCAGCACCTTCCGGTACTCGCAAGCTTCATCATCCAAACACCTTCGTTCTAGCTGAGGGAACCGACGAAAGTATAACGGGAGATGCGATTTCGGCAGGTTAATAAACTCGTAATCGTTTCGACCGGCTACCGCGCTTCTTTCCCTATCACCGAGAACAATCGAAACAAGCAGCAACTTGAAGATGGCAATCATTTTCCATTTGACGCCTCCACTTCGGGGTCGGAACTGGAACGGCGCGTGGGCTCCCAACACGAGCGAGATGTTACACAATGCAGAAAAAAAACTACGCTCCCGTTCAGCTCTTCGTTCGTTCGATGATGAGTGATTGCCGGCTTATTTAGAAGTGAAGTCATTCCATCCAGCTCAGCCAGAGCTGCTGATGATGCTGCACTGCACAGTCGAAACGAAACAGCCACCGGCGAATGAGGAGCTAGAAGAATATACAAGTAGGTATTTTCAGAATAATAAACAGTCGTGGTCTTCAACCTTTTCTCACACGCGCACTGCTCGATCGCTGTATTTATTTATTAAATTTTAATTACTTTTATTTACCTGTTTATTTTCCGCCACTCTGCCGCGCGAGGTTTGTTTACATGGCTCTCACCGCTCTCTCAGCTCATGGAGACCGTCAAATCCCTGTGACTGATCTTCATGAATATTATAATATTATTGCCTATTCTCGCACAACTTTCCAAATAGACCAATTCGACAGAGAGCATGCATAAGGGCGAATACGCGATGATCGATTCTCTTCATCGATTTTCTCTTTGCATTGCTACAGCTAAGCGAAACAATTTTCTAGAATTTGTTCAATGCAGACTAGTAACAGGTTGTATTGGCTATCAAAAGCAACAGAAAACGCACCGAGAAACGTTAAATCTAGCGAGTTATTAACAAAAGAGAAAATCGACGAAGAGAATCGATCATCGCGTATAGGCCCTTATGCATGCTCACTGTCGAATTGATCGATTGTCGTCATTGACTCTCTCTGCTTTCTCTTGGATCGTCATGGATCTGCGAAATTTTTTGCCGCGATTTGCACAGCCGTGCCCCGGAAAACATATTTTTTTGCCGAGATCTCAGCAAAAGTGTCGTTTGGTTGCTGAGTCTCCGATTTTTTTTTTGCTGTATCTCAGCAAACAAACGTCATGTTTGTTGAGATATCAGTAAAATATAATGCCGAGCACTCGGCTGTGCAAATTTCGGCAAAGAATTGCCGAGCTGGCGAAAATAAAGAAACCTAAGTGTGTAGAGCTCGGCATAGAGTAAAAAAATATTGTCTGCTTCTTTGGAAACAAACCACGCCGAAACCATCGCAGAAATCGTTGCCATAGGAATTCCTATAAATATACAGCGACGATTTCTGCGACGGTTTTGGCCGAGGGGGGCGACACATCTAAATCTCAAGTCTAGATGCTCAACAAAACCGAGGTTTTGGCACGTTTTGTTTCCAAAGAAACAGACAATAGTCCTTACCAATCATGTTCGTATTGGTACGAATTGTTTTTGTTAGTGAGAAGAAGTTTTTTGTAAGCTTTAAGAATTTTTTTGTTAACTGTTAGAACTGTCACTTTAAATACAAATAAACAACCATCGAGATTCACCATAAAACTGGTAAGTAGACAATAATAACGTCTCTTAATTACGTCTTTGCCGCGAATACAACGTGCCCACACATCATTTGTTCATCGATTTCAAATCCGCATACGACACAATCGATCGAGATCAGCTATGGCAGATTATGCACGAGTACGGATTTCCGGATAAACTGACGCGATTGGTCAAGGCGACGATGGATCGAGTGACGTGCGTTGTTCGAGTATCGGGGACACTCTCGAGTCCCTTTGAATCTCGAAGGGGGTTACGGCAGGGTGATGGACTTTCGTGTCTGCTGTTCAACATCGCGTTAGAAGGTGTGATCAGAAGAGCTGGGATAGACACGAGTGGCACGATATTCAGGAAGTCCATCCAGCTCCTTGGTTTCGCCGATGACATTGACATTATGGCACGGAACTTTGAGATGATGGCGGAAACGTACATCAGACTGAAGGCTGAAGCTAGACGGATTGGACTTGCCATCAACGCATCAAAGACAAAATATATGAAAGCAAGAGGTTCTAGGGAAGACAATGTTAGCCTCCCACCCCGAGTTCAGATTGACGGTGACGAAATCGAGGTGGTCGATGAGTTCGTGTATTTGGGCTCACTGGTGACCGCCGAAAATGATACCAGCAGAGAAATTCAAAGACGCATTATGGCAGGGAATCGTGCCTACTTTGGACTCCGGAGGACGCTCCGGTCGAATAAAATTCGCCGCCGCACGAAGTTGACTGTCTACAAGACGCTGATTAGACCGGTGGTCCTTTACGGCCACGAGACCTGGACTATGCTCGTGGAGGACCAACGCGCCCTTGGTGTTTTCGAACGGAAGGTGTTGCGTACCATCTACGGTGGAGTGCAGATGGATGACGGAACGTGGAGGAGGCGAATGAACCACGAATTGCACCAGCTGCTGGGAGAACCATCCATCGTCCACATTGCAAAAATTGGGCGACTACGGTGGGCTGGGCACGTCGTAAGAATGCCGCACGACGACCCAGTGAAAATGGTTCTAGAAAGCGACCCAACAGGAACAAGAAGAAGAGGCGCGCAGCGGGCAAGGTGGATCGACCAAGTAGAAGGTGACCTGCGGACCCTTCGCAGACTACGAGGCTGGCGAACTGTGGCCATGGATCGAGTAGAGTGGAGACGACTTCTTCGGACAGCAGAGGACAACAAGGCCTTAGCCTGATTGGTAAGGTAAGGTAATTACGTCTTGGCATCCAGTCAATATTTCTTGTTTCTTGAAAATCAGCTGGTTTTCCTGAATAAAAATGACAACCACACACCAATAATGCAGACGACGTTAGAGGGAAATTGCAATTTCTTGAGCCACCGCAAGCGCTGAAGTTGATGTTACTGCTTTTTTTTATCCAGTCGAGCGGACAGCTTATAGGTTGCATCTTTTGCATACACGGAATAGCCCTTGGAATAGCCTTCCACGGAACATTTGGCATTATTATATTACGAATAATTTGAAACAACTTTTCACATCAGTAGTTATTGAAAAATCAACCATACAAGATCGAAACGAAATGAATGTAAACAAATTTGACAATCAAATTAAAAATAAATTCTACGCATACCATGACAGTCTACATCTAGGGGCATCCCACTCTAAACTTTGTATTTTTCGCATTATACTCAGAAAGTTCTTACTGATATTTAAGATACCTGCAAATACTTAAAAATACTTAAGAAATATTTAGCGCTAGTTTTTTACCTCCGTTGCTAGACAGATTTCTTTCGATTGTTTACCCGGTGTCATCCGAGAATTTGTGTGTGCGTATTTAGAAAAATCAACTATTATTTTTTAATTTATTCCTTTTTTGTAGGAATCGAGGAGGAGACCATTTTGAATCAAAGAAAAATAACATTGCCAAAACGATTCACCTGTCATTCAAAGGAAGAATAAGGAACTTTTTAGAAAGTTACTATGGAAGAAACTGAGCAAATGTTTCTATCCCAAAATGTCTCCATAAAGATGGATTTTTCGTCCATTAGGTTCTTGACCGTTGGACGATAACTTCAGGCGTTTACGCTGATTGAAGCTGAATAAGAAGTTTTGAAAGCTTTCTGCACCATTCGCAAAGCCACATCTCCTAGATTGCCGTCGAATGAGAAGAGAATCACATTTCCTCGGATTTGGAACCTTTGATGCTCTCCTGCTTAAGGCTTATTAGGGCAGAGAGCTACTTCGGCCTAATCGCCCATTTTGGGCCTATTTAGCAGAAAACATTAAATCAAACCATGATTACGGCGTCAATTATGCGTTTGGTTCGATACTACCGAACGAAGTCAATAAGAAAGTGTGATATGAATGTTTGAACCCATTATTCTCAAAAAACAAAAGAGTGAATTCAATGCGTTAGGCCTAGTTAAGAATCCGAAGGCCTAGTTTGGGGTCAAGAAGCAGTGTTAGATTTTTTACAATATCTCAATAATGTGTTACTCTTTATCAAATCTTACGATACGTACGGAAAGCTTAATAAATTTGGAAGGCATCTGCAGTGAGAACATTCCATTTTGTGAAAAAATTCATTCTAAAAATAAAGGTAAAGGGCGGGTTGTGCTTACTAGGCCCAAAATAAGATCTAAGCCGTATTAAAGCTGGAAATTATCAAACCAACTTATTCGCTTCGTGTTAATCTCGGAACCGTTCTCTAATTGATTCTATCATTCATCAGAAACGGCTATGTGTTAAAACTTTAATTTGGACTGTTTGGGGAATGGTTTGAAATAAATTCATACATTTTAACTTAGGATTATTTTACATGAAATTGGTACAAATAAGTAACGTTTTGGAACTAAATCGTTTTATTTGGTATATCAATGGTTTGTTATAAATTATAATTTCAGAACAGATTAATATTTTTCTTATCCTAAATTACTGGTAAAAGTGAGAAATTCATTTTGATTTCACATAAAGTCTTCGGTTGCTATCAGGATACTCGCTCAACTCCCTCACCAGTCCATCATAACTCATCTTTACCTATGTAAATTTATCAAAACGCGGTTCGATACGACCACCAGTGGCAATTGCAATTAGTTCAACTTCGAGCTCACCAGCACAACGAATTGCTGGTAGTTATGCTTCATTGTCCTCTGGCAAATAACCAGCGTAGTCCTAGCATCCTTGGCCTGCTTAATGTCAAGAATTTCATAATCATGCAGCTTGCGATAGTTCTTAGCCGAATTGACATTCAACATACGCTTTTATTTTGGCAGTTCAGTTTGAAATCTAGTTACGAGTTCGGACGACAACGGCACCATTAACCTCCAGCTAAGCAATATAATTCAAAAGTTTGATATCGTACTAATCAGCCAGTTCGAAATCATAAATAATTCGCTATCCCTGCTCCAACTGGTTCGCTGAAAGTAAAATGTTTTTGATGAACTATTTCATAACTAGAATTAAAATACTTACTTATAATCATTGAATTTCACTACTTCATTTAATTTAAAACATACTAGCATTAATATGATTTAAAACGTGATTAAAAGTAATACATTGACGGAATATAAAACAACAAATAACTACATTAGTAACCGGTCACTACGATTAAAAAATCCAAATCTTAAAATACTTAAAAATACTTAAGAATACTTATCAGATACTTCGAAATACTTAATTGATTAATTGACAGCTATAGCACAGACAAACAGACGTAACTCTTTGAAAAAGTTTGGCTTGAAAACATAGTATCTCAAAACATAGGACCTCAGTAACGACACCTCGCGGGCTTCTCGCGGAAAACAAGCTTGCTCTCTTACTCGCAAACAATATTGCATAAAA